CTTGTTTTTGAAACATGAGAACTCTTATGTAGCGAAAGAATCATATTTTAAAAAAAATAAAATATATATATATATATATATATATATATATATATATGTTACTCCATAAAAAATATAGAGAGAATTTATTTAAACTTAATATAGCTTTTACCTTTTTTTGTTTTAAGCATTTTATTCCAAGCAATGGCGATATTGCCACTAGCACGCAAAGGGTAGCAGAGAGTGAAATTAAGAGTAAAGAGGGAGGGACTACAGAGAGTGAAAGTAAGAGTAAAGAGGGAGGGACTACAGAAGTTAAAGAGGAGGGACTAGTGAAAGTTAAAGAGGGAGGGACTACAGAGAGTGAAAGTAGGAGTAAAGTGGTGTGTTTGAGGGAAGGATAAAGAGAAGTAAGTGGATCAAGATCAAGGCATCAGAAGATGCCGATTGATATCATATTAAAATTTTTGAAGATTATAGTTATGTTATGGGATCTTACACATAATAAAAATAATAATGGACTATTCCATACTTAATTGCGCGCCTCAAGAGTAGGCAAGGAGTCAGTCGTTCAAGTTTTGAACGATACTCCCTTCCCACGGGCCGAAGGAGGCTACGCCGAAGGGCGGAGTCTCCTTCAGGGGAGGCAAAGCTCGGGAACCCGTTCATACGGGTTCAAATGGGCTATTTTTGGCCGAGCCCTAATGGCTCGGGAATTTACGTTAAAAATTACATGACACCCTCGTGGGGGGTGACTGAATATTGTCAGTCGTTCACTTTTGAACAGACTGTTCGGTTCAACTCTCTTACGGGCGAGAGGAACCCGAAGGAGGCTACGCCGAAGGGCGGAGTCTCCTTCGGGAGGTTAGCTCGGCCCTGAACCCGTTTTACGGGTTCGAATGGGCTATTTTTGGCCGGGCCTAATGGCTCGGGAATGCCCACGTTAAAAAGGCCTTGTGCCCGCATGACACACCCTCGTGGGGGTGACTGAATATTGTCAGTCGTTCACCTCTGAACTGACTGCACGGTTCAACTCTCTTCCTACGGGCGAGAGGAGCCCGAAGGAGGCTACGCCGAAGGGCGGAGTCTCCTTCGGGAGGTTCGCTCGGCCCAGAACCCGTTTATACGGGTTCAAATGGGCTAATTTTGGCCGAGCCTAATGGCTCAGGAATGCCCACGTTAAAAAGGCCTTGTGCCACAGACACCCTCGTGGGGGGTGACTGAATATTGTCAGTCGTTCACCTCTGAACTGACTGCACGGTTCAACTCTCTTCCCTACGGGCGAGGAACCCGAAGGAGGCTACGCCGAAGGGCGGAGTCTCCTTCGGGGAGGTCGCTCGGCCCTGAACCCGTTTATGCGGGTTCGAATGGGCTATTTTTGGCCGGGCCTAATGGCTCGGAAATGCCCACGTTAAAAGGCCTTGTGCCACATGACACCCTCGTGGGGGGGGTGACTGAATTGTCAGTCGTTCACTTTCTGAGCGAGTGTTCGGTTCAACTCTCTTCCCTACGGGAGGAGGAACCCGAAGGAGGCTACGCCGAAGGGGGAGTCTCCTTCGGGAGGTAAAACCGGCCCAGAACCCGTTTATACGGGGCTAACGGCCGAGCCTAATGGCTCCGGAATGCCACGTTAAAAAGGCCTTGTGCCACATGACACCCTCGTGGGGGGTGACTGAATATCGTCAGTAGTTCAAGTTTTGAACCGACTGCACGGTTAAACTCTCTTCCTACGGGCGGGAGGAACGAAGGAGGCTACGCCAATTGGATCCTTCGGGAGGTAAACTGGCCCAGAACCCGTTTATACGGGTTCAAATGGGTTATTTTTACGACCGAGCCCTAATGGCTCCGGGAATGCCCACGTTAAAAAGATGACACCCCTCGTGGGGGGGGTGACTGAATATTGTCAGTCGTTCACTTTTTGAACCGACTGCACGGTTAAACTCTCTTCCTACGGGCGAGAGGAACCGAAGGAGAGGCTACGCCGTAGGGCGGAGTCTCCTGGGGGGTAAATCGGCCCAGAACCCGTTTATACGGGTTCAAATGGCCGAGCCTAATGGCTCCGGGAATGCCCACGTTAAAAAGGCCTTGTAATGACACCCTCGTGGGGGTGACTGAATATTGTCAGTCGTTCACCTCTGAACTGACTGTTCGGTTCAACTCTCTTCCTACGGGCGAGAGGAACCCGAAGGAGGCTACGCCGAAGGGTGGAGTCTCCTTCGGGAGGTAAAACCGGCCCAGAACCCGTTTATACGGGTTCAAATATTTTTTGGCCGAGCCTAATGGCTCGGGAATGCCCACGTTAAAAGGCCTTGTGCCCATGCGACACCCTCGTGGGGGTGACTGAATATTGTCAGTCGTTCAACTCTGAACTGACTTTCGGTTAAACTCTCTTCCTACGGGGAGGAACCTGAAGGAGGCTACGCCGAAGGGCGGAGTCTCCTTCGGGAGGTAAACGGCCCAGAACCCGTTTATACGGGTTCAAATGGGCTTACAGCCGGAGCCTAATGGCTCTGGGAATGCCCACGTTAAAAAGGCCTTGTGCCACATGGCACCCTCGTGGGGGGTGACTGAATATTGTCAGTCGTTCAACTCTGAACTGACTGTTCGGTTAAACTCTCTTCCCTACGGGCGGAGGAACCCGAAGGAGGCTACGCCGAAGGGCGAGTCTCCTTCGGGAGGTTCGCTCGGCCCAGAACCCGTTCATACGGGGTTCAAATGGGCTATTTTTTTGGCCGAGCCTAATGGCTCGGGAATTCCCACGTTAAAAAAGGCCTTGTGCCTTACATGACACCCTCGTGGGGGGTGACTGAATATTGTCAGTCGTTCAACTCTGAACTGACTGCACGGTTCAACTCTCTTCCTACGGGGCGAGAGGAACCCGAAGGAGGCTACGCCGAAGGGTGGAGTCTCCTTAGGGGAGGTAAAACCGGCCCAGAACCCGTTTATACGGGTTCAAATGGGCTATTTTTGACCGAGCCTAATGGCTCGGGAATGCCCCGTTAAAAAGGCCTTGTGCCACATGACACCCCTCGTGGGGGGGGTGACTGAATATTGTCAGTCGTTCAAGTTTTGAACCGACTTCACGGTTGTACTCTCTCTTCCTACGGGCGGGAGGAGGAACCCGAAGGGAGGCTACGCCGAAGGGCGGAGTCTCCTTCGGGGAGGTAAAACTCGGCCCAGAACCCGTTTATACGGGTTCAAATGGGCTATTTTTGGCCGAGCCTAATGGCTCGGGAATGCCCACGTTAAAAAGGCCTTGTGCCACATGACACCCTCGTGGGGGTGTGACTGAATATTGTCAGTAGTTCAAGTTTTGAACCGACTGCACGTTAAACTCTCTTCCTACGGGCGGGAGGAACCCGAAGGAGGCTACGCCGAAGGGCGGAGTCTCCTTCGGGGGGTAACTCGGCCCAGAACCCGTTTATACGGGTTCAAATGAGCTATTTTTTGACCGAGCCTAATGGCTCGGGAATGCCCCACGTTAAAAAGGCCTTGTGCCACATGACACCCTCGTGGGGGGGTGACTGAATATCGTCAGTAGTTCAAGTCTGAACCGACTGTTCGGTTAAACTCTCTTCCTACGGGCGGGAGGAACCCGAAGGGAGGCTACGCCGAAGGGCGGAGTCTCCTTCAAAACCGGCCCTGAACCCGTTTATACGGGTTCAAATGGGCTATTTTTGGCCGAGCCTAATGGCTCGAATTGCTTACGTTAAAAAAGGCCTTGTGCCGCATGACACCCTCGTGGGGGTGACTGAATATCGTCAGTAGTTCAAGTCTGAACCGACTGTTCGGTTAAACTCTCTTCCTACGGGCGGGAGGAACCCGAAGGAGGCTACGCTGAAGGGCGGAGTCTCCTTCGGGAGGTAAACTGGCCCAGAACCCTTTATGCGGGTTCAAATGGGCTTTTTTGGCCGAGCCTAATGGCTTGAGGAATGCCCACGTTAAAAAGGCCTCAGCCATGACACCCTCGTGGGGGGGTGACTGAATATTGTCAGTAGTTCGAGTCGATCTCGGTCGACCAGCTGATCGGTTGAACTCTCTGCCTTCGGGCGGGGAGGAACCCGAAGGAGATTACGCCGAAGGGCGGATTCTCTTTCGGGGAGGTAAACCCACCCTGAACCCGTTTATACGGGTTCACTGGGCATATTTTTGGCCGAGCCCACGGGCTCGGAAATCCCACGTTAAACCGGCCTTGTGCCACATGATGCCCACGTGGGGGAGGTGACTAAATATAGTCAGTAGTTCGAGTCGAGTCAGTAGTTCATCATTTTTCCAAAAGCTAAGCAAAGTATTAAGAGACAGGAAAATTTTGTTAGAAACAAAGAAAAGGGTACTTAAATGTTATGCAATATCGGTTCTCCTATATGGCAATGTATACTTGATAATCTAAGCACAGATGAAGAAGTGACTTGTAAATAACAGTAAAGGGAGATAACTATAGAATGAGCTAAACAAAAAGAGTGTACAAACAAAAGCAAGAGCTTTGTATATATAAAGGAATGTTTGAATTTGTTTATAATCGTTACATGATCAACCCACAATCGAGTGAACACTAAAAAATGCCTGTAAAAAGTATTTTTTTTAATTAATTTCTTATGAATGTTATTTGTAGCTAAAAGAATTACCGTTTATGACGATTAATTGCAGGATATGTAGAGTTTATTTGTGAGAATCGTTTAGATTCGAGAAATAAATTATTTGAAGGTTTTGAATAGGAAAAAACATTTGTGGTAAAAAAAAATGTGGTTTAACAGAAGGATGCTGAGAATACCATGGACTGAACATGTGAGCAAGGACGAAGTTTTAGAGAAATGAAAGCAAAAAGGACAGTTATACTTAGCAACAGAAAGAGACAAATGAAATATCTAGAGTACATAGAGAAGAAATAATGCTTGGAAAAATTGACACTCACAGGACATATTGAAGGCAATAGGGATAGCGAAAAACAGTGCACAATCTGCCTAACGAGCATGCGCAAATTATTGGAAGAACTGGGATTAGGAGAGATACCAAGAAAGGTTTACGATCACACTACTTTGAAACACCGTTTCAACATATGATCACCGAAGTTAAACAACGTCGAGCCTGGTCAGTATCTAGATGGGTGACCACTTGGGAATACCAGGTACTGTAACCTTGTATGTGTAGGTGGTGCAATGAATACTGGTTCGGGAATGTTAATCGGAGAGCCGAGTTCTAATTAGGGTTGGGTTCGTTATATTCACTTAAGCGCAAATACCCTTGGGAAAGGCATGATTCCAAGTCTTCTCCCTCCAGCTAGCTATTGATAAGACTTGTATCACTAAACCATTATTATCTCTCTAAAACATTCTTACAATGTAAAAATGTTTTCTGGCTTTAAATAACCTGCAAAGTGTTGCTAAACCATGAAAAAGAATCAACTAGAAAGCAAAACGGCACTGTTTACGAAAAGCAAAAAACGAAAAGGAATTGTGGAGGGGCAGGATTGGTCACGTCCTTAATGGGCACGAGCCACAGAGTACTACTACTATTATTATTAATAATAATAATGATAATAATGAGAAGGAGGAGGAGAATAAATACGTCAGTGACAGTGCATTAACCTTCTTAAACCCATGTTTCCGCAGTAAATAATAATAGAAAAAAGCGTGACCTATTTCGAGTTATATAAAAATACCAGACAATGTCCATACCCCTAAAAAAAAAAAAACGAAACTTGTCATGTAGTATACCTGCAGATGGCGTTATTTTCCTTTTCCTTTTTTTTAACTTCTGCGAAAGAAGAAAAGAAAGAAAAATTCAACTAAATTCAAGGACAAGATAAAGGGAGAGAGATCGACTTGAAAAAAAAAATGTCATACGAAGACAGAATGAAGTAAAAATGAATGATGCTGAAGTTTTACATGATCGCAAAGACTGGCTTTTCACTGCATTAAGCCCACTCAACCCTTCAGCAGCAAAGAAAAAAAAAGACGGGAAACAAAGCCATTTGCTGTTTTGAGCGCCTTACATTTTTTTTCCTAGGGATCCTATCTACTCGGAGATGGCAAGCCGGAGATAAAGAATAGTTCTAACTAACATAATCCATCTTTTCAATTCAAACTGAACCTGGAGTACTTATTTATATCATCATTGGCCTACCAGAACTGGACGTCTTTTTCTATCTCTCTCTCTTTCTATCTCTCTTTGCCATTGTCCGTCTGTTCTTCAGCTGCTACTGTCACCATTAACACTTCACTCCCTGTAGCTATTGTGATAAAAAGATCACGTCTGCAAAAACCTTTCCATTAACATTTTGGTCAGTATTTCAAATGCCACCGTTTCTTTCTCATGGCGAAAGTGCGGATAATTTTTGACTTAACCTCATACACACGTATGTATATATACGTGCACACACACAGACATATGCATAAAAATATATAGACAAACATATAAACAGACATATATATATATATAAATACATATATACATATATATATATATATATATATATATATATATTGATAACACATGCACATATATATATATATATATATATATATAAATATATATATATATATATATTGATGACACATGCACATATATATATATATACATATTGTATATAAAGATATATATATATATAATTTATATATATATATATACATATTTTTATATATATATATATACATGTTTATATATATATATATATATATATCTTTATATATTTTTATATATATATATATATTTATATATATATATATGTTTATATATATATATATATATATATATATATATATATATATATGTTTATATATATATATATATATATATATATTTATATATATATATATATATATATATGTATATATATAAATATAAAATATATATATATATACAAGTTATATATATACATATATATTTATATATATATATATATATATATATATATATATATATATATATATATATATATATATATATATATATATATATATATATATATATATATATATATATATATATATATATATGGCAGAATATAATATATAAATTTCTATATTACAGAACGATACCATCAACTTAAAGGAAAAGTAGAAAAATACCCTGTACACATTTTGTCTTCTAAAATATACAAATCATACACACACACACACACACACACACACACACACACACTTTCTCATTAGTAAGATTTTAAGGAAACCACTGCTAACAAAAGGTGGAGTAAAGAATGGTGTAATCATATGAAAATATGGACTGAGCATATACTAGTGCATCAAGCGTACCACCGGAGGGCGGTACGCCTTTGTAACCCACTCTTTGCCTCTATTGCAAGGACAGACGTTCTACTCATGCCGGTTGAACAAGTTCATGTTTCAGTAATAAGTTTAGAGGAGTAGAGTTTACTCCCTTGCTTCCTGTTTAGGTTTTCGGTTCTTTCTAAAGTCTACTTCTACACTATAGTTCTAATGTCTCCGATTGAAATCCTGAAATCTTATCCACTATTTAAATTTTCACATTTTCAAGTCTTGAGTTAACCGTTAACTTTCCCGTATCGCCCCTAGAAATTCACTTCTTGCCATTTCTTATCTTCATACTACACCACACAGTAGGCCTCTACTTTGAGTGTCTTTTGGGCCTTGTATTGACTTAATATTAATACAAAAAAAAGCTTAGTCTTTCTACACAACATACTTGCATGTTCATTTTTATTTTTGATGAAATGATGTATTTCAAGCGTTATTATTAATTTAAATATTTTCATTCGGTCGAGCTAGCTAGCGCAGACATTCATAAGTTTATCCCGCCAAGCATGAAGCTCGAAAGGCAATTAGGGTGGCATCCTGTGTCATAACATTGTTGATCAATGTAGGTGGTTACTGGGCGATCAACTCGTCTTGCGCCAAGGCTAGTTGCCCAGAGCAGTAGATCACTGGCGAGTTCTTGTTTTACTTCCCAGTAGTGTCATGTCAAGCGCATTCTGCTTTCACGTAAAATTGTATCAATATCAGGGATGGGCCCATACAACTGTCATTTAGTTGGGTGTCGTCTTCAAGATATGTTAAGTATAGCTCTTAACATCCGAGTGTTCCATCAAGCTTAAACTCTAGGGCAGTGGTCACCAAACGGTGCGACGCACCTCATAGATTCGACGGAAGAGGATAGCAAGTGAGGCCGATTGTTTCAAAGACAATCAAAGATTTTAAAAAAATTCAGTATCTTTCTATATTTCTGAGATGAGGTATTATGTACATTAATTACATTATTCTGACTATTGTCCTCATCTTTGTCGCCATATTTATCACAACGTTTCGGCCGTTGTACGCTCCGGCCTTCTTCAGGTGGTTGGAATGTCGACACATGGCACAGTGGACAAAGGCGTTAGTTAGATCAAGTGACAGGACCCAAAGAGTGTGAGTTCAATACCCGGTTAAGGTAGTGGAGATCTTTCAGAGGGAAATTAACAGATTATTGATAACTGACATCCATTGCAAGTGGAACTAGAACAGTCTACCCCAGTGAGCAAAATAAAGGGTTCAGTTCGACATTCCAACCACCTGAAGAGGACCGGAGTTGTACAACGGCGGAAACGTTGTGATAAATATGGCGACAAAGATGAGGACAATAGTCCGAATATTGTAAATAATGTTTTAAAAATTCATATGCCAAAAATAAATATGATTTAAGATTTCAAAAATTATTATGGATTACTTGTAATTGCGTGCGTGAGTCCCAGTATAAATAGTTATAAATAATTATTGACCGATTTTATCATTGTGATATTTTGCATGACAAATATTAGGAATGTAGCAACTATTGTCTGCAATTTGGAGGAGAAAGTTATCAATGATTACATTCCGACTTTGAATTCGCAGTTATCTCCCTTCAATCCTCACTCTATTTTTTTTATATTTAAATGTACTTTTTATCACATAAAAATTGGCGAGTAAATTTTCATTCCGAAAATGTGACCCGGAGAAGAAAATTGGGGAACGACTGCTCTAGGATTTTAGTTAATGTCCAAGCAGTGGCACTATACATTAAAACTGACTTTACAAATGTAACCGTAAGTTCTATGCTAATAGTTTCTTCTCTCGCATTTGCGGAACTTTCTACGACCTTCAAAAAATTAAAATGTAATCCTCAATAAGAAAGTTTCTTTCACCCTTACGACCTTGTAGATTTATTTGGTTGCTTAGAGGACGGTGGTGGGTGGACCTTGATTTAAAGAAATACCTTATATATTGTCCGATTCAATACTTCTTAGTAAATTACTCAGCGGCGTAAGAAATTATTTTCAGATGAATAAAACTGGAAGCCTATATATTTTCTTAAGCATTTCACCCCAAGCATTGCGGAAGTGCAACCAGCACACAGGGGGTTACAGAGAGTGAAAGTATGAGGGGAAAAAAAACTGAGTATAGTGGGGATTGAGGAAAGGATAAAAGATGAACGGGGGATCAGGTCAACAGAAGATGGCGATTGATGCTGCATTTAAATTTTTGAAGATTGTAGTTATCAGAGAAGTAAGTAAGAGGAAGGGAGTTCCATTGCCGAATGTTAGAGTAGAAGTGGTCGTTACATTTAACTATTTCAACAGTAAAATGGTGGAACCTAGATGCCAATCTAGTAGCGCGCGTAATAATACAATACGAATGATTTTTCCAAGGCCCTCATAATTATATTTTCAGTATTAATAAAAAAAGTTAAATTGTAGTCTTACACCAAACGGTTACAAACAGTAACTGTTAAAAACAATTCTTCATCTGAGAAAAGAATCAGATACCTCCATCCTACGTGAGGAAAATATTTTGCGTTCAAACTCCCATTTGAGTCCAGTAATTTGTGTGTGTGGTGTGCACACTTATTATATGTGGGTGTCGATAAATATTCATCTTTGGAGATAGTACTGTATTAAACATAAGCATACACATGAAGGTAACACATATGTGCTACTGCGTTTCTATGAATAGGCAGAGGCGGATGTGGATAAAACCAAAATTACATTAACGTTTTGACTTATAAAAGAAAATGTGAGGCGATGTGTAGACGCAAACTTATATGCGCATGTGTCTTTGAGTACAAAGATAATTGTGGGTAGCCGGGAACCCAAGGTACATTTCGAGAAGTTGGCGGGCTTCTTTCAAAGCGAAGTGGATGTTTAAAGAGGCGTTAGTTATCAATCAAAACGAGGACAGAAGAAGAAGAAAAAAACATAATCTCATGTTGGCTTTCAACATCTCTTCGTTTCGTAATTTTCTGGGTATAAATTCCTTCCTTGACGCCGTCTGTGTTTGTGATTTCTTCAATCGTACGCCTTCGTTTTGTTTCTGTATTAAATTCGTCCAGTTTGCGGCCATATTATTTTTTTCTCTGTTCTTGATGCAGCTTTTCATCTTTTTTTTCCTGTTTTTTTTTTTTTTTTTTTTTTTAAGAAAAAAAAAATCTTTCATTCCTTTTTTGCCTCTTTTCTCCATATCTCTTTCCGGGTTCTTTTTCCTTTCAAATTATTCTTTTTCTTTTATCCTTTCTGGCATTCATTTTTGTATAATTCAAAACATTTTCATTTTGCTTGCAGCTGATTTAATTAATTTCTTCATTTTTAACTTCATTCATTCCGTCCTCCAACCAAATATTTTTAATTCGTCACTTTTTAATTCATTCATTTGATATATTTTTATACGACAAAGTTGTTTTTTACTTACATTTATTCAATTCAGATGATGAATTTCTAATTCATTTATTACCTTTTATATCTTAATAACCCGCGCAATCGTTTAACAGAATTTAGGGATATACGCACATATGTTATATATATATAATTAAAAAAAAAGGGTCCACATGTGCTTCTTATAATATGTAAAATAGATAGGTTAGTTAATAAAACAAGGACAAACGAAAGGGTACCAATATAATCAGTGCGATAAACATTTATTAAATATTAATTATCAACCATATGACATAAATGAAGCACGGAAAGAAAGGTTTTAAGTTCGGAATTTTCGGACACGCCGGCGTCCTTCGTCAACGGAACGAGAAATAAAAAGAGAAATGGGATGTTTTTATAGTTGGTGTATTTCTGTTGGAAATCGTATTGTTAGCAAAAACCCGATCTCTGCCCGATTCCTCGATGTGCGAAACTTTATATAAATATATATATATATAATTCCTTTGTTAGAGATGTCTTACACACTGTTTCCCAAATGAAATGCCTTGTACGAATGCAAGATAAATATATTAAAATGCTTAATCGCCGTGCCTTGTTAGCCATCTTTAATGAAACCGGTATAAATGTATTAGAAGATATAATATATAATAGATATATATATATATATATATATATATATATATATATAAAGAATATCATACACTTAAAATTCTATAGGCAATAATTTTTACTTCATGAGAGCCCTAAAACACAGCAGCTCTCATTCTTCAAGACCTACGAAACCTATTCATATTTCCTTCGTTTTGTAAGTCTTGAAGATTGAGAGATGTTGTGTTTTAGGGCTCTCATGAAGTAAAAATTATTACCTATTGGATTTTAAGTGTTTGATATTCTTTAATTAATAATTTTGCTTTGTCCTTTGACATAGAGCCCTCCCTGCATATATATATATATATATATATATATATATACACGCACACACAGACTCGCACTTATACCCGTATACTTATTCGTACTTATAAGGTTATATATATATATATATATATATATAATCGATTCTCCCGTCGGGTTGAACGTATGAGGGTCAAGCAGATCAGTTTCCAGGAAACTGACAGCCCGACACCAGCACATGAGATTCGATTATCGTGGTGAAGGTTTCGTGCAGGACCATCCATAATTTTTGAAGGGCCGAATACAGAGACCTGGTGCACTACGTGCTACAAGGTCCCCAAACAACCCCCCTCAGGTTTTGAATTCAGAGTTGTCCTTCTCCTAGACCAGTTGCCATCCGAGGCTATAGAACCCAGTCTGTCCTGCTATTTAACCCATAGCTGGAGGGAGAAAAAAAGGATTCACACATTTCCCAAGGGTATTAGCACGTAAGTGAATGTAATGGGTTCAACCTGGATTCGAACTCGGCTCTGCGATTCCACAATCCAAGCCGATATCCATTACCCCACCGTGCCTACATATTTGGTGTATTTTCTGTTAGAAATCGTATTGTTAGCAAAAACCCGATCTCTGCCCGATTCCTCGATGTGCGAAATATATATATATATATATATATATATATATATATATATATATATATATATATATATATATATTTGAGATGTCTTACACACTGTTTCCCAAATGGAATGCCTTGTACGAATGCAAGATAAATATATTAAAATGCTTAATCGCCGTGCCTTGTCAGCCATCTTTAATGAAACCGGTATAAATGTATTAGAAGATATAATAGATATAATATTCAGAAGGAGAGATCAGTGTCTGATATATATATATATATATATATATTTATTCGAAAATTATGACATAAACATGTTATAAAATCACTACAAAAATAGCCATTTTGTTTTAACTCTTCTGGTGTCTTATGAAGTGATGATGTTCAACATCATCACTTGATAAGACACCAGAAGTATTGAAACAAAATGGATATTTTTGTAGTGATTTTATAACATATTTATGTTATAACTTTCGAAAAATAATTATATTTGCTCTACTCTGTATTGAGCACTCTTTTCAGAGTAGTATTTGTTGTTTATTGGAATTTATTCCGTATACACCAATCGTATACTCGGATATATATATCCTTATAAGTACGAATATTACACATACAGACGACTCATATTCATATTTCCTTCGTTTTCCCATTATTTCTCCTTTTTCTTGAGTACTGATGACGTTACTGAGTGTGAATAGTCTTCATGACATATTTCGGGGTTGATAAAGGTCTTTAGGGCGGAGAAAATGAAGGAATTTCGTTTAAAAGAGGAAGAAACAAACGAAGCCCAAATAACGGCTAGCGCATGCAAAACAATCTTAGAAAAGAAACAAGCAAAAACATACAAAATAAGATAAACGAAAAAAAAGAAGAAAAGAAAACCTAAAAGGAAAAGAAAGCAAGCAGAAGCTTAAAACCGCTCGTCCACCATTGCCCCAGCACTGCAAAAAAACAAAAAACAAAAAACAAAAAAAGCCTAACACCCAGTGCAATAAATATATACATTAAGTAAAACCAAAGGAGCAGCGTTGCCCTTTGAGATAGAAATACATTTTTTTGCTGTTTTGCCTTCCGTTTCTTTGCCTTTGACATTATCTCTGGAATCATATTCAGAAGGAGAGATCAGTGTCTGATAGAATATAATTTATAGCTATAAAATATAGCATCTTTATCAGAGACAAAAATAAATATTAAAAAAAAGACGGAGGGATCTTTTTTTTTTCTGTTTTTTCATCATTATACCAGTTACATCTTAAGTTATTCTGCACAATAACCAGTGAGATAATGATGAGGGCAAATAATCAACATTATCGCTCGTTTCTTCATTATCACAGCCATCCTTCGGCACCTGCGTCTCAAACCTGACAAGGCGACTACTTCAAAGTATTTATTTCCCAACCGACAGGCTTTTGCGCATAAATCAATCCTGAAAGATTCGCTTTAAATTTCTTTTTCTTCAAACCCTGTTATCATAAATGTCTTTTCCCGTTTATTAAGTTTACTGTCTTTCCCAGTTGACAAGAGTCGTTCGGCTTTTTGCTGCGTGTTATCTAGTTCACTTTGTTTAAACATATCTCTCTCCTTGTCTGTATTTGCTTATCTAATCTGGTTTAGCGACTAATTCGTATCTAATTTATCTATCTCATTCTGTTCATATCTATCTGAATCTGTTCATATCTATCTATTCATATCTATGTATCTATCTATTCATATCTATCTATCTGAATCTGTTCATATCTATCTGTCTATCTATCTATCTCAGTCTGTTCATATCTATGTCATTCTGTCCATATCTATCTATCTATCTATCTCATTCTGTCCATATCTATCATATCTATCTATCTATCTATCTATCTCATTCTGTCCATATCTATCTATCTATCTATCTATCTATCTATTCTGTCCATATCTATCCATCTATCTATCTATCATCTCATCTGTCCATATCTATCTATCTATCTATCTATCTATCTATCTATCTATCTCATCTCATTCTGTCCATATCTATCTATCTATCTATCTATCATCTCATTCTGTCCATATCTATCTATCTATCTATCTATCTATCTCATTCTGTCCATATCTATCTATCCATCTCATTCTATCTCATATCTATCTATCTATCTATCTATCTATCTATCTCATTCTGTCCATATCTATCTATCTATCTATCTCATTCTGTCCATATCTATCTATCTATCTATCTATCTATCTCATTCTGTCCATATCTATCTATCTATCTATCTCATTCTGTCCATATCTATCTATCTATCTATCTATCTCATCTGTCCATATCTATCTATCTATCTATTCTATCCATATCTCATTTCATCTATATCATTCTATCCATCTATCTATCTATCTATCTCATTCTGTCCATATCTATCTATCTATCTATCTCATTCTGTCCATATCATATCATCTATCTATCTCATTCTGTCCATATCTATCTATCTATCTATATCTCATTCTGTCCATATCTATCTATCTATCTATCTATCTATCTCATTCTGTCCATATCTATCTATCTATCTATCTATCTCATTCTGTCCATATCTATCTATCTATCTATCTATCTCATTCTGTCCATATCTATCTATCTATCTATCTCATTCTGTCCATATCTATCTATCTATCTATCTATCTATCTATCTCATTCTGTCCATATCTATCTATCTATCTATCTATCTATCTCATTCTGTCCATATCTATCTATCTATCTATCTCATTCTGTCCATATCTATCTATCTATCTATCTATCTATCTCATTCTGTCCATATCTATCTATCTATCTATCTATCTATCTATCTCATTCTGTCCATATCTATCTATCTATCTATCTATCTATCTATCTCATTCTGTCCATATCTATCTATCTATCTATCTATCTATCTATCTCATTCTGTCCATATCTATCTATCTATCATCTATCTATCTCATTCTGTCCATATCTATCTATCTATCTATCTATCTATCTGTCCATATTCATCCATATCTATCTATCTATCTATCTCATTCTGTCCATATCTATCTATCTATCTATCTATCTATCTATCTATCCTTTCATACTGTCTCAGTCTGTTCATATGTATCTACCTCTGTTTGTATTTATCTAGTTCGGTCTGTTCATATCTATCTTATTCTGTCCATATCTATTCATATCTATCTTTTCATAATTACTCATAACTATGTAGGTATGTTCAAACTTTCGCTAAAAAGGAGCATATCCTTTTTCATCGATTTACAAAAAAAAAAAAAAATAAAAAAATAAAAAAATCGATGATTTATATTCAAAGTCTTCTGCCGTTAATAAAAACAAATACAGAAATTTACAGTTTGGGATTTTCAAGTTTTCATAAGTGGTGGGTAACAGATGTAAAAAACAAAAATTACCATGAATTTCTAAAAAAAAACCAAACATTTCTAAAGTAATTTAATTCATTTCTTTAGTAAGTTCTGAAAGTTTCATTAAAAATCGACAATTATTTTATTTTTGCAAGAATTTCCAAATTAATTACAACTGGAAAAAGCGCAACCCCCCCGCCACCCACCAAAAAAAAAAAAAAAAAAGCTAATGCTAAATATTACGCGACCGCTGACCTAAAAAAAGACGAGATTTTCAACCAAAATTTCAAACGTGCTGCATAAAAAAATAAAATTTTTTTTTTTAAAATAATCAAAAAATACTTTGATCTTTCCTCTTATTAATAACAAACTTTTTCACGATAAAACTTTGTTTTTATTAAGTTTGGAGACTTTTTTCATTATGCTATGCCGTTTTTCGGCGAATTATTGAACACACATCTATCTATCTATCTGTATATCTCTCTTATAGCTAAAATGTCATTTTCAGTGGGTGTACGTATTCGAGTTGAAATCCTTGATTTTTTTTTTCTATTTTCTTAAACAGTGAAATTAATATCAACCGACCTAAATCTGGAAGTTTTACTAAATAAATATATGCTCTCATTGTTTCTCTAATGTTAAAAGGGATACAGGTTCGTTTCCTGTTGGGAAGAACAGGAAACGAACCTGTATCCCTTTTAACATTAGAGAAACAACCCATAGAGCTGAAACACGCTGTTACAAAGTTAGCCATGTGGAAACGGGTCATTGTAAAGCAATATCGTTGTGAATTATTCGAATTTATAAAATTTAGCTTAATTTTCGTTCATATCTATCATGATTCATATCTATCTTAGTTCATATCTACCTTTCTAATCTGTTCCTATTCAAAGACCATGCCTAGTGCCTGATGGCGTATTTGCCTCAAGTGCACGCGGTAAAGGTCATTATTGGAAAAACTGATTTTTCAGACAAACCCATAAACTTTATTCTAAGTATTGCTTAGATCTCTCTCTCTCTCTATATATATATATATATATAAATAGTGAACATTAAAGTCAACAATCAGAGGCGACAGGCTGTTTCATGCAAGGCGCAATCGTCAGGCTTGACGATTGTATCTGGTATGAAACAGTCTGTCGCCTCTGAGTGTTGACTTCAATGTTCACTTTTATATATATATTTACATACGCTCTGTCTCTGATATTGAGCACTTTATCCCATAAATATAGTACACCTTAAAAGTATATATCTATCTATCTATCTCTCTCTATATATTATATATATATATATATATACGTTATATATATATATATATATATTATATATATATATAAACGTTATATATATATATATATATATATATATATATATATATAAACAAACGTTATATTATATATATATATATATATATATATATATAAACGTTATATATATATATATATATATATATATATATAAATATATATATATATAAACAAACGTTATATATATATATATATATATATATATATATATATATATACAAACGTTATACACACACACACACACATATATATATATATATATATATATCAAGTACTGTTATACATATGTATCAATTAGTTCCGAAATCTATTCATTTCTATATTTTATTGCCTTGCTTCCTGTTCTCGGAGCGGCGCATTCTTGTGGAACGTCAAGCCCGAAAAACCGTCCATCAGTCGGCACAAAACATCCACATCATGAAGGTACTGTTGCAAGTCAAATGAATGGCCGATTGACAAGTCAGCTTTTAAAAAAGTGACAATGCTCAAGATCCCCTCTGGCCGATTATGGTGGGCAATAGGAAGTGATTTCAAAGGCACAGAGCCGTCATCAAGGAAGTACCGATGGTCATTACCTACTTTGACATGTACATACATTTAAATAAATGTATGTGTGTACATGAATACGAACGTGTCTCTTAAACTGGTCGCGTGACGTGGAAGGTAAGTCGATTATCATTTTGGTGGTTCAAGAGAAAAAAAAATATCTTAATTCTAATTTCTGATTTTAGTCATGTTAATGCATAATGGCAGAACTAATGTTTATCGCTTGTAACCTTACAGAACATCACGCACTTAACGAATGGCAGCCCATTAATTATTTGATGACTACGTAAAAATAAAAGTGTTATGTTTTCTGAATTTCTTCTATGTGCTGCGTTTCTTCGGGGCGTGGTTGATCATGTTTCTACACAGCATACTGTCCTTTATAGATCTTAGTAAAATTTGAGTTTGTGCTATATTTTCTAATCCAAGTTCTGCTTTTGGATTAGGAAATATAGACAAACTTTTAAAGTGTAATTTTAAAACAATGAAAAACTTAGCCAACTTACAAGCTCATAAGGTAGGTTATTTGCTGCTTTTCTCTCGCCCACTTGTCTTTAATATGACCTGTGAGTGTCAAATTTTCTAAGCCTTTTGTCCTCGCTAATGTGACTTAGAAATCGTCACCTGGCTCTAAGGTAAAGCATTAGCACCATTATTAGTTTTTTCCATCTTTTTATCGGTGTTTTAGAATTTAATTCTTCTTGTTTTATAAAATTAAAAAGAAGACAGGTTACCATGTCTCTTCAGGCCACGTTAGAAACACTGGTTCGTGTATGATCACTGAAGTTAAGCAACGTCGAATCTGCTCAGTACCGAGATGGTTGGCAGCTTGCGAATACCAGGTGCTGTAGGCTTGGATGTGCGGGTGGTGTAACGGATAATGACTCGGAATTGTAAATCGAAGAGCCGAGTTCCAATTGGATTCGTTATATTCACTTAATCACAAACACCGCTGGGCAAGGTATGGATCCACCATATCTCCCCTCAGATATTAGGTTAATTAGTAAAACTTGTATTACTAAATCATTATTATCCAAAACAAAACAAAAAAAATCCTCTTCAAATCTAAACATATTTTCTGGCTTTAAATAATTGCAAAGGGTTGATAATCCGTAAAAAACGAATAAATCAATGAAATACTAAATAATTACATAGGCATGACTTTTAGATTTACTTGCATACTCTGGAATATAAATGCATGGAAACAACTATGGCCAGAAAGTGAGGGATCAGTTTATATATTGATTGTAATATAGAATTGATCCCCAAATTTATATTCACCTTTTATCGGTCATTTAGTAAGATTTATTATCCCCCACGCCCCCCACTAAATTCTTAAAACCTAAAAATATTTTCTGGCTTTAAATAACCTGCAAAGGGTCGATAAACCTTAGAAGACGAATCAATCAGTCTTCTGGACAGAGACGTTGGTGTTTGTTTACTGTTTCTTGCCTTTAAAATTTACGCATGGTCTCGAGTGATAGAAAATTAAAAAAACTAAAAACAAAGAAAATACTGAAACAGTTTTTGTTTTTCTTTGTTTTCTTTTGTCATAGGAAAACCAATTTTTTTTAAACGGCGTATCGAAAATTTGCTTTTCCGTTGGGTGAAATCGTTTAAAATGAAGGCGACTGCATTTTTGATATCTTTGACAAGCTTTAAATTTTGTATTTTTAAATAATTGACGTCACGTGTGTCTAGATCTAAAAATCGGTTTCACCCGGCTTTGTACCGCTTATGGAAACAAAGAATACAAGTTCGATTTCTGTCAGAAGGCACATTTTTCGTTGCGAAGACTTCACGATCCAGGCAGGTTGACATTAATTTTATTTTTTAAAATTAAATAGAAATAATAAAAAACAAAAAAAAAAAAAACAGCAATGTGAAATCAAACACGTGCACCCAGTAAAAATAACTTGTATATTATATTAAAAAAAAAATTCGGATTAAAATAAATCCATTAATTCTTATCTGAGTGTCGATGGCCTACGGGTTAGAATCTCCGACTGATGGTGGAATTTTTTTTCCGCATGTGTTTATATTACTAAAGAGATCTAATAGTTGGATTTCGGTCACGGCCTCTGAAGCGATCAGATGTCTAGCCACACTGATGAGCTGTTATACAGCGAAAAAGTCTGTCCGTGGATGACTATATATATATATAAATAAAAAGACAAAAGGAAAAACTATTCTTAGACTCTTTCAGCTAAGAATAGTTTTACCTCTTATCTTTTTATTCGGCTAAGAATAGTTTTTCCTTTTGTGTTTACATATATATATATATATATATATATATATATATATATATAACACAAAAGGAAAAACTTTTCTTAATAGTTTTTCTTTATATATATATATATAAAAAACACAAAAAGAAAAAACTATTCTTAGATGTATAAATATTCATCATATATATATATAAACACAAAAGGAAAAACTGTTCTTAGATGTATAAATATTCATCACACACACACACATATATATATATATATATATATATATATATATATATATATATATATATATATATAAATGAATAAAACCACAAAAGGAAAAACTATTCTTAGAATAAAACTAGAATAGTTTTTCCTTTTTGTTTATATATATATATATATATATATATATATATATATATATATGAATAAAAACACAAAAGAAAAAACTATTCTTAGCCTCCCTCAGTTAACAATAGTTTTTCCTCTTGTTTCTTTCTTTCTTTCTTTTTTTGTTCCTTTACAGTCATATAGTATCTGAAAATAATTTACAGACACGGAAATATGCATAAAAAAATTAATGGATTATTTCTCAAAACGTCAAGACATAAAAAATGAAGTGGGACTTTTTTCTGGGGGAATTTTTTTCCGCATGTGTTTATATTACTAAAGAGATCTAATAGTTTTGGGCAAGTTGTTTCCCCCGGAAAAAATGTCTCACTTCATTTTTTTTTATTTTTCGTCTCGTTGAAAAAGGCGAGTCTGAAAATTCCGATTTTTAACATCTTCTCTCATCGTGCTTCGATTTGCTAAAAAGGCCTACAAATATATAATAAATATTATTTGTCTTATTATCAATATTGTTATTTTTGCTGTATTTTTACCTCTTGAATTTCTTTCATCGGCTTTATATAATTTCTTTTGGTCTGATAACGTGAGAATTACTTGCTTTGAATCAAATATACATCACATTTGTATGGAAACGCTAGACATTGTGAACTGACGTTAGATACATTCACAGTATTGGCTATAATACTATAATGTAAATTACACACTTTTTATTATAAATACTTGTTCACACGTACCATCCAAAATAATAACAATATTTAAGTAATTTAGCGATTGCAATGGTCGAATTTTAAATATGTATAATCTCGGGTTTTTATCTGTAAATTTAACTCGAAAAAAAAAATAAATAAAAACACATTGTATGACCCCCTCCTACTTACTAAGAAGCTATTACGTTGTTATGATAACGTAAAGTATATTTGCTCACTGGCGTCGAGCGATGTCTTGTGATAGTGTAACGAAAGAATATTTCCTTACTAAAATGAGGAAAACAGTCTGTGTAGCCGATGATTATTTTGCTTTATATTAGGAAATATGAGAAAAATTAATGACAGAGTAGGAAATTCTTTTGCTTGTCGTGTTTTATCCTTCAGGGCATAATCGGACTAAAGTGATGCATATTTTGACAACACATCCACACGAAGGAGAGGGGGGCTGAAATTTTAATATTTTTAATATATAATATAATATGATATATAATTCATATTATAGAATAAATTGTAAATATATAACATAAATAATAAATTTATATTATAAAACTAGCAGTATAACCCGGCTTCGACCGGGTGTTTCATCACTGGCAACATTTGCCGCTCAGTTGGAGCAGTTTACTAATCAATATTAGTAACAACAGTTGGGTGTAACTGGGGCACATCCTCAAATGGGGGGTTAACAATTTGAATAGGGGGTGGCCTTGAAAAAGGCCGTTTTTGCGTTCTCAAT